TCTCCATTTGCAAAGGTCATGCAGTCTCCATTTGCAAAGGACACGCAGACTCAATGGGGTTTTTTGGTGAATATGAAGTGATTCTGTAATTCTAAGGCCGATAAAACCGCTGCAACGTTCTAATACGGAACAGTCTGCCATGTTAAAGCAAGTGTCACACAACAATGAATGGTCTCAGGATTGGCGAAGGGTTTGAGTTAGAAAAAAATGTTGCCTGTACGGTGAGACCTGTATGGCCCTCGCCTATATATATCTATATATAATATATATATATATATATATATATATATTTAGGCCCCAGACCCAGAGAAGCCAACTCCCGCTCGAAGGGACAACTGATAGAACATGGTGATATCGCGCTGACTGCCGTAGTCTAAGCGGTGTCTATCGCGGTGTCTTTTATTTATATCACGGTGTCTAAGCAACTACAGGACTTCAATGTGTCTCTCATACATCTCAGATGAATGCGTTCCACTTGAACACTTTTCATATATTAGATATACCAGCTCTTCAGCAGAACCTCGCAAGGCGTTTCCGCGACGTCACACCTACCCACGCCTCTGGACGCCGCAGCCAGAGCGACTCGCTATCTTAGCCAGCGCTGTCTGCGGCCGCGCGGCCGGGCCGTGAGTGAGCGGGCGGCGGCGGGCCGGGTTCACTGGCCCGGCGCGCCGCCTCGGGCCTCGCCTGCACCGGTCACAGAGCCGAGTGGCGGGCCGGCCGCTCGTGGCATCTACAGGCCGTCAGTCCAGCCGCGCCGCCCCGCAGGCCGGCTGCCGGACAGGTCGCAGCGCGGTGGACACCGAGGCTCCCCTGCTCGGTCGGCTTGAGGGAGACCCGCGTCGCCGGCCTGGTGGTGAGTCAGCGCCGAGCGCGGGCAGAGGTCGGCGCGTCTCCGCGGCGTCCGTGGCAGACGGTGACGTGGCGTGCCGCGACGGCACGCGACCTGACCTGCCGGCGCCATGACGCCCGACACCTGGGTGAAGTCTGGCTACTCGGTGTTCTGGTCGCGGCCCGGCAGTGCCCAGCACGAGTACCGCTGCTGACCGACCGGCGGCAGCGGCCGCGCCGCCGGCTGCGTGCCTGGCTGCCGCTAGCCGCCGTGCTGCTGGTTCGCCGTGCTGGGGCTCAGCACGTTAGGTCTGCTGCACGGCCAGGACGCCCCGCCCGGCTTCCGGGCCGAGGACGGCGATGGACCGCCGCAGGCCGCTGACCGGCCCAGCGAGCGTCGCGGCAGTGAGACCGGGGACTCACCGGCTGTCGGTGAGGACTAGCAGCATGTCACCGGGGTCCACGGAGCACTCCGAGCGAGATCAGAGCGATGCGAAGCCGTCCGACACGGACCGCTCCAACTCAAAGACAGCCGACAAGAGCCATGGCGACTCCGGGACTACCTGCGAGGAGCAGCGAGTCCTCCGGTTGAGGACGGGAGCGGCTCCGAGCCGTCTGCGGAGCATCGGAAAGACCCCAGACCGTCTGCGCAGCTTGACGGCGACGCCGCTCGGTCCGCTGCGGGTCAGAGAGATCCGAAGCCACTGGAGAAGGCTCAGAATGAGCCCATCGCAGGCCCAGGCCAGCCAGGAAGCATCTGAACGGGAAGCCAAGCCCACCTCACAAGAGCAGCGATCGCCTCTGTCCGGCAAACTGGCACCGCGGGAGGTTTTAGTCGTTCTGAAAAAGCAAAGACTCGAAGCCCGCCGATGCAGGTCGGTTGCCAGCTGCAACGTTAGGCCTGCAGCTTTTGATAACGGCACACGTGTGATAATCATCTCTGCGCTTATTGTGATTCATAAATTGATTGATCTAGGTATATTGCTATGACAAATAATACACAAGAGACGGGGCGTATTCAGAGGGGGTGGGGGCATCTTCCCGCCCTTTGGATTTGTTGCGGATGTGCTATCTGTATGGATAAATATCGATAATGACACACCGACGTAGGACACGCGGAATTCAGTAAACTAAACCATGCAACGTTGTTGAATAGCATTGCCCCGAAATGGTGTGCCTGGGTGCGCTTAAATTTGTTTCCAAGTGCAAAATTGTCAGTCGTGCTCTTCTTGCATTGTAAACTCATGCAGGCACCCACGATAGAAGCTATTCTAGCGTGCAGAATAGTTCTGTCTTTCATGCAGGCACCCATAATAGAAGATATTAAAGTTTACTGGAAGTTGAAGCCAGAAGCAGATCGCTTGCATCAAAGTTTAGACTCTCCAAGCACATGAGTCCGGGCATCTTTAGTCCATCTTCGATTTAATATGGTGTCTTCATGCAGATAGTTACTTGCTCGTTATGCTAAACATTGCTGTATTGTTGGTTGTAGCCAAGGTCTTGTTAACATGTTACGTGTTGAAGAATATGCACCTCTCTCAGCAAATGTTTTCTCCTCCCTACTGACCAGGTATTTCCCCATTTCACTGTTGTTCGAGCTCCGTTCTAGCTCCATTGTACACAGCAGCAGATTTGTTACTTGTTTTAGGGCGTTTTTCATTCCGAACGCAAGACTCAAATTGGCCTGAACCCAGGGGAAATCGGAATTTGGTGGTAAGTTAGGTGAATCTATACTGGGAATTGGTTATGTCGTTGGGATATCCCTCCACCCGCACTCAAACGACCTTCAAAGTGGCCCTGAGTCTATCTCCTTGACGCCCTGTGCAGTGCATTAAGGTCCGTGGCCGTTATGGAAGGCTATTGCGCTATACTGGTTGGTGACAACATTGCAGCAATTGCGCAATGTCATGGAATTTCGGCATCTTTAGTCGAAAACAAGAATGTGCAAAGGCTGCTGCATTTTGCCTCTTGTGTTTTCTTGCTATCAATGGAGTCTTCTGGCCTTTTGGAATCCCCTTGCGTTTTCTTGTTATAATCGGAGTCTTCTAACCTTTCAGTCGCGCCATGTGACTTCTTCCTCTCACCAGGGGGGGGGGGGGGGGAGAATAGCTCATCACCTCACCTCGCCGCCCTTCGCTCTCACCGTTTCGCGCCGCAGCAAGACACTATTTTAGACTTTTACATCTGTCATGCCGCCGCCCGTCGCACGCTCGTACATATGACGCATTCGTTTTAATAAAATAGTTCATGTGACGAATGACCACGTAATGTGTAGCTCATGACAGCTGCCGTTTTTCCTGCGTTGCCTCTCAGCTATCGGATATCTCACCAGCGCCAGGCCAGGCTGTTATCAGTTGTTGACTGGTGCCTGCGTCATGTTTAATGCTTGTAAACGGTATCTGCTTTCAGATGGGATGGCGGACCGCAGTCCTGCGTCAGTCGATTGAATCGCTGAAGATGTCTGCTTTGGTCCACGAGAGAACGGATGGCTATCTACAACCGGTGTGTGCTCTGGCCTAAAATTATCCGCCGATGCGTGCTCCGGACTCTTAAGCTCTCCGCCATATTTACTCTAGCCTAAAGCTCTCCGTCGATGTGTGCTTTGGCCTAAACTCTACGTCGATGTGTGTCCTGGCCTCAAGCTCTCCGCTGAGGTGTGCTCTGGCCTAAAGCTCTCCGCCGATGTGTGCTCTGGCCTAAGTTCTACGTCGATGTGTGCTCTGGCCTAAAGCTCTCCGCCAATGTGTGCTGTGACTTAAAGCGCTTGAGTTGTCGAAACGCAACCCCGTGACAGGTCATGTAGTTTCCAATGCCGGAAGTTTCTGTCCGGCCGGCTGGCCCCGGCCCTGCCCCGAGGCTGCGCCTGGCCGGAGGTCGCCGCTTCCGTCCAGCTGTCGTCTGGCGAGAGAAAACTGCAGCATGTGCTCGACACGCTTGCTTATGTCAGAGCCGCTTCCTCTCTCCTGCGATTGGATTGTGATGCCATGATATGCTGCCTTTATGACTCGTGTCTCTGAATGCTCATCTTGAGCAGATGCTTACTGTGATTGGACAAGGAAGTGATAAGCACACAATGCATATGTCACGTATGGTGGTGTTGTAGCCGTAGTGGTACGATGCTTCAGTTAATTCCTTTAGTGAACACTTCATAGTGAGTAAGAATGAGGTGCGGGCATTCCATATCCACTGGGAAACAGCTGCGTGATTCATGTGTGGATGTAAATAAGTGAAGCACGTTAATGCAACATTATATTTTCAATGAGAAATACAAAAATCCACGGATGTGTATATTTATATATTACACAATAGACAGCGATGTGTATTAGACGGCACATTACAAGCTACATAAATGTGACAACATCTAAACGTTGAAAGATGTAAATAAGTACGTGCGGGTGATTTTCTTCAGTGCAGAAGGAAGCTGGAGGGTGAACGGGCTAGTGACAGAGCCCTGGGTGCACCACGTGCACACAGTATTATTTTAGTCAGAATCAACGCACATGCCAAAACAGCTCAAACCATGATGCGCTTTTTGCTGCTTTCATAGGATGAGTAGTCCCACACATGGTATGAAACACGTGAAAAGCCCTCAGCATGCGTCATAAGAAGTTTTACGGAAGCATCGAAGCCACATGTGATGGCTGC